AAAGAAAAACAGGAATGGCTTGGACTCAAGTTGGCGGATCAATATGTCAATATTATTACTATCACAAAAAGACAGATTAAAAGCAAAATTTTACTTCTCAAACAAATACATACTTGTGTTCCATTTTCGGGATCATTTGCAGTCTTGGGATCATTTGCGGTTGGGGATCATTTGCAGTACTGTACAGAACTCATCAAGAGGGCTCACTTCCAAATAACATTATAGAAAAAAATCACATTAATTAGTTATTAGTCAAAGCGGCAGCAATTAAAACAAAGACGATATATTAACGTAGCAGGTGAAAAATGCATGTACATATTTAGGTACTATCATAAAATCTTTTCGATTCATTATATAAAAGAGTGGCTATGAAAACATAAATCATTATTTTGCTCCAACCGCCATGGCTTACCTCTGAGTAAAACTATTAAACAGATTGTGTTACTCAGTATGTCACTTCTTCTCCAAGTTGTCCCAAGCCTCCATTTAAAGCAAGGCTACTTGTAAGTGTGAAGCCATTGATGTGAAAATGACTTTAATTTTCATGCAAATAAAACTCATTCTCAAAAGAAAGGTTTGGCAGTTAGCCTCATTTTGAAAGTTAGAGAGTTTGGAATCCGGAAATGTCCTCTTTCAATTTTTTAATTAACACATTGAATGTTTCCGTTTAACATGGAAAGTGTGTTTTAGAGAAGTCAGTTGGAAGACATTTTAGGATTATCACACATCCTAGAATCATGTATGACTAAATCTTTATTTCTAATTGGGACATTGGCCTGGGGGCATAACTGGGGAAGTCTGAATTTTTTTCTCTCTAATGATCAGGATCTTACTTGCTTTTAAAATGATTATCATTACTATGCAATCACAGGAATTCAATGCAGTAAACAACAAGGATTGCACTCTCTTGTTGTTGGTCAGCGGTCAGTTGCCTAGTAACAACGAAAACACAATAAGCAGAAACATGCGTTTACAATCCACAATCCAGCTGACTTATCGTTCTCCAACTTGATTGGAAGCGCGCTTCATGTGGACAACAAAACAAATCAACAATCCGCCTTTAAATTAACGTCGATTTGGGTTAAAAATATATCAACTCTTGCTCGAAATTAAGTCCACGTGAATTTGAACTGATCCAACGGAACTTCATTTTTCGCTTTTCCATTGGTTCAAAAGGTGGACGTGACAACCGGAGTCACTTTGTGGGAGACTGGAAACTAGTGAGCTCAAATATCAAACATGTAATCCGTTCAGTGATCGAGTTTAGTGAGTCTAAAAAGCAGTGGTTATAAGAGCTGAATGAAATAATCTAAAGCTTTTGAGGTGTCAGCAGCAAGGGAAAAAATTCGCATTGTTTTTGTGCAAGAAATGATGGCCTTACTTACAAAGCTTCAATGAAACACATGTTGTAGACATTGTTAATGGACTAGCTCAGGTACGAGAAGACATTTTGAATATCCCAGTTGCTTACTACACTTGTGGATCAAAAGCTTTTTTTTCCAATAAGAAAATTTCACGCAAAATATCTCAGAATTTACGAAACTAACTTTGCGATCGCTGAGGTACATGTGGACTTCATTATTATGGAAAGCGAATAGGTAACTCAAGCAGAGGCCCTATCGATCTTCCTAGATAAATCGCAGCTATGGAATCCAAGGCGTGTTGTGTACAAAAGAGTGTTGTATGTGATCAGGCAAATCAACTGGAGAACAGACATTTAGGCAAAATGACTTCAATGCATTAAAAAATTACTATGCATGTGGTTTGCATGCATTGAATACCTGCAGAGAATACGAACAACAAGACCTTCAGTCTTCAGAAAACCAGACCATTACCTTCCTAACTCTTTAGGAGTCAAAATGGTGTTGAATCATAAAGTGCAACTTTAAAATACAAGAGATTAAAAGAGATTGGACTAACAAGTTACTATTTTTAATCACACCAATTTTTTTTGCATCAGTATTTTGTCAACATGAACTTTATTGACCTAAGTTTAAACAGATCTGGCAAGAGCATTAGAGGCATCTAAGGCATTAACATCTACTTTTGTGCTATTGTGAGTTGGACACTTTCATGGGTTTTCAATTGTGCCTTCATGGGAATTTCATTGGCCATTAGAATTTTTATCACCCATGAAATACATGCGAGGCTGTAACTGCCTTTTCAGGGCTCATGGAATGTATCAGTCTAAAATATCTGTGACTTTCATGACCCATGAAAATCCATATTCATGGCTTTGTAAACTTTTCATGGTTCATGAAAATAACTGGTTAAGAATTTCATGGAAATTTCATGACTTAGTTTAGCACCATGAAATCCAAAATCGCTGTTTTCATGGCCATGAAAAAGGGTTCATGGGTTTTTCAACACATTTTCACGGGATTTTCATGAAAAAGAGATTCGTAGTGATAGCTATTGCAGTTATCAAAGATGCATTAACATGCATTTAGGAATCCATTAATTACCGGGATCATGCCCTGTACAAATGAAGTCGAAGAGCCAAACATTACGATAGAGTTCAGTACTCCTGTCAAGTTCCCAGCATCTAGTTGTAGATATATCGTTGGCGAAAGTTGCCACTACGCATGAATGATAACTACACACATCAAAAGAGCTGACAAATTGTTTGGTGAAGAAACTTATCCCTACCTATTTGCAGTATATTTGGTTCATCTTCTCATGTTGGTTTGTTCATTTAAAAAATCGAGGAAACTAGAAGTAGTTTTCATATTTCAGAGAACAAAACGTCATGAACAGTGTCAAATGTCAATGGCTAACAAATCCGAAAACTTAGAAACTCCAATTAAACAATGTGCTAATGCCAAGCGAAAAGAAAGTTTCTTGAAAGAAACTTAACACAAGATCTAGTGCCCGTTTTCGTCAGTCTTGAAGGTAACACTTTGCAAAATGTTTAGTTGGTTTCGTGACTGGTAACTTAACTTCTGAGCAGTACTGTAGTTTCACCTTAAAAACCATTTCTAGTTCTCAGCCCTCAGTGGCATCACACTATTTCCATACACAGGAACACTCTTTCATGTTTATGTGTTTACATTTATACCATCCAGACACCACCCTCCCCGCCTGTTGTTTCTCCATCAACTAGCTTCATTTATGCAGTTAATTAGCTTCACCTGGTGTCTGGGTGTGACTGTTCCATTTGATTTCACTGATACACCTACATGTACGTACTGTAGTTTACTTTGAGGGGCGAGTACTGCACAATTGGCATTAAGAGTCTATTGTACACATACATGTGACAACTAACTGTTAAACATGCCAGCTCTAACGCTACAATGGTGTGAATTTGTCCATTTGAGTCTTTGTCCTCACCAATATAACCAACAGTTCCCCTGACAGGAGCATCACCAGCAAATGTCACAACTCGTTCATCAATGTTAACTTCATGACGTACAATGTTAACTTTACGTTCAATGTTAACTCTATGACGTACCGGTACATGTACTTTTGAGTCTGAATCCTCAAAAGGTGTAAGTTTATCAAGAGCAACAAAAACTCCTGAGTCTAGGGCACACACGAAATATCGCTTCTTCCTGAATGTACCATCTGATGTTCCTTGGCCAGGGTTTTTCTACAACAAACAGTAGATTTCAAAACAGTTCAATAAATATTATAACTGAGTACTGAATAAATTACTCACCTAAAGCTGTATGTAGGACTATAAAACCAACAAAAACAGCAATTTTCTATAACTTACTGTCACAGAAAATACATAGCATTTTACTGTTCTACACAGTGCTGTCGTTTGCCTCACAATAGACACTAAGTTGTTAATTGCAACATTTCAACCTCGATCTTACTGCCGGTCTTCATCAGGTGATGTTATCCATTTACTGAATAGTATCAGGGCATGAAAAAAACGTGAATTCCAGCCAGCTTTTACATGCAGGCAAGCAGCTCTTAAGGCCACTTCAAGGCTGCTGCCTAACAGGCGCCCAGTCACCAGGGGCGCCTATGATTTACCTGCGGGTGACCAAAATTTAAAACAAGGAACCTAAACCGGCGCCTAAAAGTTATGATTCTCAGGCCATCTTCTGGTTAATGAACAACAAAATTCCCTGCTTATTCTGCACTTGTGAAATGAAAACAGACAACATTTGGTTGTCGCCGATAACGCCCTAATGTCTTGAAATCAGTTCTGAAACTTCTGCTGCAGTGCATGCAGTTGAAGTTTCTCGTCTGAAAATGACCTCAAATGAATTTAATAGTCTTAGAAAAACCGTCAGTAGTAAAATCATGAAACATTAGGTCACTATTGCATGTAGTAAAAACCGATAAAAAGTTGCATGGGAAAGCAAGAGGTTTCAAATTACATGTGACATAAGGTATGCAGATTCTACTTTGGCAAGTTTGTAGCATTTTCTATTTTGCTATGAACATATGAACAGTACACTCAGAGGTTTCTGTTATCATGTGTTCAGCATTATCTATACCTCGCAAATATAGAAACACTTGTGATAGTTAAAAAGAGAGACTTGATATAAAAATACTGGGTCAATTTTCCTAACTTCGAGATAAAAAACCTGTTGTTGGTCCTTTTTTAGCACCTAAAAACTTAAACTTAACTTGGCTTAAGCTTGATTGTACATTCAAAAGCTGTTAGTCAGTGCTTTCACTTTTCGTAGGAATGGTTATTGTTATTTTTCTTGAGAAATATAAAATCGTTTCTCGAAATCTTTTTGGTTGATGAACATAAAAAATTAATGCTGGTTTCTCGAAACGCGAGACACAATTTTTGAGTATTCTTCCATTTCTGTCTCATCATGCAACACTCATTTATAGCATTGTGTAATGAGACAAAAACAGCTGCAAGGGACACTTAAGTTTTGAGAAGCGTGAATCAAGTTTCGAGCATCAGGTCAAGACTGTCAATTCAAGATACAGACACCACTGACAGGGTCATCCAGGTTCCGTTCTAAAAATACAATGAAGTAAAATTAAACCTCTAGTACAGAAAAAAAGAAGATTGGCCGTTGTGTTCG